TTAAGATATTTTGCTATATTTTCTAGAAGATTTATTATTTTACCTTGCACATTTAGATCTCAGATTTACGTGGAATTGATTTTTGTGGATGATATTAGGTAGAGGTCAAGTTTTCTTTTTGCTATATGCATAGACAATTGTCCTAGAAAAGTTCATTGAAAAAAAATCCCCTCTCCACTGAAGAGCAGTGGCACCTTTGTTGTATATCTGTTATATCTGTGTGGGTCTGTTTCTGGACTCTCCATTGTGTTTCATTGATCTAGTTGTCTATTATTGGGCCAATATCACATAGTTTCAATTACTTTCACTATATAATAAGACAACATCTAATAGAACAAGTCTTCCCACCTAGTTGTTCAAGAGCGCCTCGGCTATTCTTGGACTTTCTCATTTCCATATAATTTAGTTTGTCAAAACTCCCCCCAACACACACACATACAACTGTTGGGATTTTTGAATGGGGTCTCATTGAATCTATAAACCAGTTTGTGGAGAATTAACATCTTAAAGCTAGCAAGTCTTCCAGTCCATAAACACGGTATATCACTCCATTTATTTAGGTGTTAATTTTTCTCAATAATCTTTTATAGTTTTCTATGTAAAGGCCTTGCACACATTTTCCTATATTTATCCTTAGGTATTCTTAGGCTATTGTAATGATGTAATATTTCTTTTTTAAATTTTCAGCTGCTTGTTGCTTATACACAGAAATACAATCAATTTTTGATATTGGCCACATGTCCAGCAACCTTTCTAAATTTACTTATTAATTCAAATGTTTATCCTTCAATATTTCTGGATATTCCGTGTACACAATTGTGTTTTTTAGAAATGATGACAGTGTTATTTCTTTTTTCCAAATCTTTAAAATTTTTAAAAAAAGATTTTATTTATTTATCTTTGGGGTGGGGGAAGGGTGGAAAAAAGAGAGGGAGAGAAACATCAATGTGAGAAACATTGATCAGTTCCCTGACCAGGGACTGCAACTGCAACCCAGGCAGGTATCCTGACCAGGAATCAAACCAGCAACCTTTCGTTTTGCAGGATGATACCCAACCAACTGAGTCATACTGGCCAGGGCATCATACTGTTTTGATTGTTATAGCCTTGTAGTATAGTTTGATATCAGGTAGCATGATACCTCCAACTTTGTTCTTCTTTCTCAGACCAGGACAATGTACACACACAAACTCACCTAACATGCACATCTTTGGGATGAGGGAGGAAACCAGAGCACCCACAGAAAACCCACACCATCCTGGAGAGAATGGGCAAACTCCACACAGACAGTGGCACTGGCTGGGAATCTATTTTTTCCTCATCAACATTATAACCAAATGACATTGAATAAAACAACATTATTCAAGGACCTGCTGAATCTAGCCCATAATAGATACTTAATATGTATCAGTTGATTGAATAAAAGGTAGCAGATTAACTTTGAGCAGGAGTAGGGTCCACTTCTTCCTCTGAGGCTGGAAAAAGAAAAGGATAGGAGCCGATACAAATAAGCATGCCCCTATGTTCTTGGCGCTTTGGGGAGGAAAATCGTCTGCAGGCAGAGAGGTTTGAAGAAAGTGGTGGGTGAAGGCTCTAAGTTAGTTGTTCATGAGTGAAACAGGAGACTTGCTGACCCAGAACACTTAGTAGAAGGGTTGACTAGCTGTAGTGAGAACCCATCTGATATTGGAACCATAAAATTCACAGTGTCAAATGCCACTTATTTGCAAAATATGGACACCCATCTCTCTGGGTAAAAGGTCAGAGAAAGTAGATTATGGGACTGATTCTAGATTGAGAGCTTTATGTTTTCAGTTAAGGATGGCTGCTGTAATAGAAATCAGGTAGAGTGTCAATCAAAATGTTTACTAATTAGGAATCATTGCCAGTGGCTTAAAATATTTGGGAAGAAGATTATTACCCTACATATGTGTGTTAAAACATTTTTAAAAGAACTATATTTCTGGCCTGTGTGTACCTAGCTCTAATTGCTGTCACTATAACAAAGCATTGCTCTTCTCACCCACTTCCCAGACCCGCTGCAATTCCAAACTAGTTTACCTAGAGACCTTTGAGCCAAGAAATAATGCATCCCCTTGACATTGCAACAAGTATGTAATATAACATTTCTTTTTGACTTTTCCCCAAGATCCTGCAGCTATTTTCCAGAGTTACTGTCAACTAGAAAAGGGCAACGCTCAGACAATGGCTCTGGAGAGTCAAAATGCCACTGTGAGACAAGTCAGATTGGGAGCTTAGGGCATGAGATCAGGAGATAAATGGTATTTCAGCCTGAGCTCATATCAGAACAGGCCTAGTGAGTTTGCAAATACACCCTGAGTTTATTTTCTTGTTTAAAAAGAGGTAAGGTTTACAATAGCTCCAGAAAAAATGAAGTACTTAGGTATAAATTTAAACAAAATGTTTGCAGGATCTGTACATGGAAAACTGTAAGACACTGATGAAGGAAATCAAAGATCTAAATAAATGGAGGTATAGTGTGTTCATGAGTTGGAAGACACAATTTTATCAACAGGTTAATTCTCCACAACTTGATCTTTACATTTTACACAATCCCAACCAATTTCTGCAAGAATTTTGAAAATATCAACAAGCTGATTCTAAAATTTATATGGAGAGTCAAAGGAACTAGAATAAGCAAAATAATTCTTAAAAAGAACTAAGTGAGAAGACTCACACTTCCTGATTTCAAGACTTACTATAGCCCTGACTGGTGCAGCTCTCCGTGGGTTGGGTGTGGTCCCTCAAGCCAAGAGGTCATAGGTTTGACTCCTGGCCAGGGCACACGCCTGGGTGGCGGGGCCAGGTCCTTGGCTGGGGGCGTGCATAAGGCAAATGATCAATGTTTCTCTCCCTCTCTTTCTCCCTCCTTTCCCCTCTCTCTAAAAATAAATAAAATCTTTAAAAAATGACTTACTATAAGGTTATAATGATTAAATTAATATAGTGTGGTATTGGTGCAAAGACAGACAATAGACAGAAGAAAAAGCCCCAAAATACAGTCAACTGATTTTTGACAAAGGCACAAAGGCAACTGAATGGAGAAAAGAAAGTCTTTTCAATAAATAGTGCTGGAAAACCGGACATCTATACACAAGAAAAGAACCTTCACACATGCCTCACACCTTTTGCAAAAATGAATTCAAAATGAATCATAGACCTGGCTATAAGGTATACAACTTATAGAAGAAAATATAGAAGAAAATCTGCATAATCTGGCATCATCAAAGGAACTACACTATTAAGAGGCTAAAAAAGACAACCCACAGACTGGGAGATGTTGCAAATCACATACCTGATAAAAGACATACCCAGACTAAAGAGCTCTTAAAACCCAACAATAGAAAAAAACAAAACAGTTTAAAAATGGGCAAAAGATCTGAACAAACTCTTCACAAAGAAGTTATACAGACAAAAGTTAGCAAATAAAAATATGTTCACAATAAACAAAATCAAATAACCCAAGTAAAAATGGGTAAAGGATTTGAAGACATTTCTCCAAAGAAAATATACAAATGGCCAACAAGTATATAAAAAGTTGCTCAATGTCACTAACTGTTAGAGAAATGTGTGTCAAAACCATAAAATATCACATCACACCTACTAGGAAACTGTCATAGATCAAAGGAGACTAAAGAGACATGACAGCTAAATGCAATGTGGGATCCTGGAACAGAAAGAGGACATGGTGGATAAACTGATGAAATCCAAATGAAGTCTGTAGTTTACTGTTATTGAACCAATGTTAATTTCTTAGCTTCGACCAGTGTCAAAAATAGGTTTACAGTCGTGAGTACACAAAACAGAGTTTATTCCTGTATTATTAATTATTGTATTATTTTCCGTATGAACAACTGTAAACCTACTTTTGCCCCCACCATGTATACATTAGTTTGCTAGGGATGCTATACCAAAGTCCTAAAGACTGGGTAGCTCAAACCATAGACATTTATTTCTCACAGTTCTGGATACTGGGAAGTCCGAGATGAAGGTGCTAGCTGATTTGGTGAGAGCTCTCTTCTGAGAAAGAGAGTGAGAGAGACTGAGAGACAGAAGCAGAAAGACAGAGGCAGAAGCAGAGATACAGACAGATACGTAGAGACAAAAAGACAGAGATGGAGAGAGGCAGAGTGAGACACAGACAGAGACAGTGCCCTCTTATGAAGGCACTGTTCCCGTCATGAGGGTCCCACCCTCATTACATCTAAACTTAATAACCTCCCAAAGACCCATCTGCAAATACTATTACAGTGGGGGTTAGGGCTTCAACATATGAATTATGACAGGGGGTACAATTCAGCTCATAGCATTATATAAAATGTTAATATTAGGAGAACTGGAGTGAAGAATATTAAGAAACTTGCTGTACTATCTTTGGAGCTTTTCTGTAAGTCTAAAATTACTGAAAGATTTTTTTTTTAAAGTGAAAACACCAAGGGAGAAGAGTTAAAGGTGCTGGTGAGGATAATTCAGATCATCAATCACAGGATTAGACTGGGTTAAAAGGAAGAGAGATGGTGATGGAATTGCAATACTGGGTAAAACATGAGAATCAAGGTTCTATGAAGTTTAAAAACAGGTTTAGTTGACCATCAGTGATTTTTTTATTTCCTCTGAGGAATAAAGAATATTAAAAGCTCAAGTGCAATGGAGTGTGTTTCATTAAGATTTAGTAAAGAAGAGGAGTAGTCTGGTGAAGAAGCAGAATAAAACATCAGAGAAGTGAAAAAGGGAAGATTTTTTCCTTGAGAAAGGGAGGCGGTCCTCAGCTAGTGGTCGACACCAGCTAGTTTTTTCAAAGCTTCTCAATTTCTCTTAAGCAAACAAATTATACTCCCAAATGTCAGTGGAAACATTTTATAACATTTTACTATTTTTTCACAGTTGGTCATTTAAAAACTAAAAAATAGAATAAGACTGAAATTTCAATATGACTCTTCATACTAACATTAAGCACTGTAATTGCTGCTAAAATACAAGTAAATAAAAACAACAGAGAAACTACGTCATGTTATTTTAATAACTATTTCAATATGAAGGAAGAAAACATAATGAAGAGCACATGCTTGTTTGCAATTGTTTTTACATTGCACTTTACTTGCTTTCTCAAAATGAAATTGCAATCTGTTCTCAATAACATATTTACATTTTAAATCCCACATGAGAAGTAGTTCAGCATAGTTGCACAGTCAGATTTCTGGCTTTATCACCCACTGGCTATGGGAACTTGGGAAACTGCAACTCTCAGAGTCTCAGAGTACACATTTGTAACATTATAATGATAGATAGTACAGTACCCTCCCCCCGTCCCGGCCCTTTATCTGCGGTTTTGCTTTCCATGGCTTCAGTTACCCATGGTCAACCATGGTCTGAGAATATTAAATGGAAAATTCCAGAAATAAACAATTTATAAGTTTTAAACTGCGCATTGTGCTGAATAGTGCCTTACAATCTTATGCCTGGGATATGAACCATCACTTTGTCCATCCATCCACACTGTAAATACTCCTCACCCATCAGTCTCTTAGTAGCTGTCTGTTATCATATCAACTGTCAAGGTATCACAGTGCTTATGTTCAAGTAACCCTTATTTTACTTACTAACGGTCCCAAAACACAAGAGTAGTGATGCTGGCAATTTGGATCTGCCATGAAAAGCCATAAAGTGGATGCATGCATAGGAGAAAACATAGTATATATAGTTCAGACATACATGGGGGGGAGGGTCTTGCAGTGTGTCCGCCACAGATAAGGAGGATAGCTACTGTAGTTAAACCTCTCTCATGAGATTATCTTCATGTTTAAATTAAGATAATACCTATAAAAGTGCTTTTCGTGGCACCTCACTCATAGTAAGTACTCAATAAAAAGTGGCTACTTTATTATCATTATTATATTTTCGATTATTACTATAATAAAATAATCAAGATAATTACCCTTCAAATCTAAAAACAAAACAAAACAAAACAGTTTTAGTGGAAGTGACAGTACCAGAGTAGCAATGATAGGAGGTTGTGAAGAAAGAACAGCAGAGTTGACATCGAGGCTGCGGTCATGGCACTTTGTGGCTAAAGTGGCATGAAGGTTTGGAGTTGAGGTCAAGGTGTTGTGCAGAGGTTATGGTTGGTTATCCACATGATACCTAATTATCTCTCAGAATGAGGACAGGAAATTAGGTGGAGAGGACAACTCAGTTGCAGAAATCTGACTAGATGCAGGCGATACTTTGTAATACAGGTGAACAGGTTAAAATACAGATACAAACACTACATATTGGTAGCACTGAAGCAGCGTAATAGTAAATATTTATATCTGTAAGACTCCTCCACAAATGGCAAATGTGAAATAAAATACCCAACATATACAATTTTTTAACCTCAGCATCATTTCTAACTCTAGAATACCTCCCTCCCATGTGCCCACACACAGAAGCAGTGGTCTTAGCTACTTGACAGGATGGTAGCTCCCTTGGGTTGCTCACTGAGAGTCCATTTTCATTCGGATCTCAGCTGTCCTAACTCAGATCTGGCTTTTGTTTCTTTAAGTGCAAAGTCTGATAAGCGGCGGCTCACTTATAGCTTTCATACTTGAAGTAAAATATGCAGACTCTAGCTTTTTATGGATTTTCTATGGTAACAGAAGAGACTGAAGCCATATCTGATACCTGCCAATCTAAGAAGAGAGACAGAGTTACCTCAAAGGATCTGACTTGCTGTAACTTTAAATCTAATTACATGCCACTTTTTTCTATGATACATTATAATATTTTTTTCAAAAATCTTTGAACATTTCATTAAAGACCAGCTACTTTAAAAACTAGAGATACTTAAGCACTGATCTATTCATAGAGTTTCTACACAGCTAAAAATGTTTATATCAAATGGATAAAAAAATAGCACAGAAGAGCCATATATAGAAAGATTTAAAAAACCCATCTCTAGAAAGCAGGCCAGATGGACTCAAAGACCTCACTGAACATAAGAAGTAACACAAAGCCTTCTGATGGGGGCATAAAGGTAGGAGCCAGTCCACGCAGTCACGAACAAGTTCTTTTGCCTTCTGGTCGAAATGCTTGCCTCTAGTCTGGGTTCAGAGAGAGATCCCGATCATTTGAACTGGTTGTCAATCAAAGTCCCTTTCATTTTTGCTTTCTTGGCTTCCAGTTCAGCCTGGGGAAGAAGAAAAGGTATATGTCGTGATACATGATATGAAATTCTTAGTTTCCTTCTTTATTCTATCACTAACTGCCCAAACCCTATCCTTCCATCCTCATTTAGTACACAAACCGGAATAGTGGTTCTAAAATCCTTATGAATCTCTAGCACCTGCTTTCTGACCTTTCTGTTGTTCTGGCACACACAGAAGATGACGCTACACAAGGCTGCAGTCAAAGGGAGTCAGTGCAGGGATCCCCCTGCCCCAGACCTCCCAAAAGGCCAGGGAATCAGTCAGTATCGTAGTGCATCAGTATCTTATTCTTGGCACAACAGGAAGAAAAACACTGTTCTAGAACAGCACTACTTAAAGTTCTGTGGCCCATGACCTGTTTGTTACTGGTGCATGCAGGATACGTTCAAAAATTGACAGTAAGAATTTAGAAATATTTATAGCCATCTGACAGAGTCATAATAAAATAATTTAATAAGAACTGAGGCAAATTCACTGTACTGTATTTTATAAATTATAAATCTGCTCTTGCAAATTGGAAATTAAAAATAATGACAAAGCACTGGCCTTCACCTCAGAAAATGTGATAAGCACTGCTCTAAACCACCATGGCAAGGTAAAGCGGCTCCCAAGACCTACCGCCTGTGTCACCGAAAAGTCCTCCGCAGTCATTGGGGCAGACTGGTCTACTTTTTGATAAGGCACTAACGGAGTGCTGTCTAATTTCAAAGAAATATCATAAGGAAATTATTCTCAAGAAAACAAAAATGTAGACATCATCACCTATAGGTGTGCATGCTCTATGATGAGCCCACGAATAATGCGGGAACCGGTGGTGGCCTTGGGGCTTTAAGAAGCGATGACCAGCCCTAGTGCTGGTCTTACCAATGGAGCGCTACCTACCTTGTGCCATCGCACCCTGGGAAAGCGTCCACAGACCTCGATCTTTAACTCCTTACTGTGGACCACAAGTAGCAGATTAAAATATCATGCCGGTCAGGGCTGGCTAACAAGTAGTATCATTTAGGGCCTGGATCCTGTGATAACTCCTCCAGAGCAGGGTATACCGACAGTCACAGCCCAGGGTTAGACACCTGGCAGCCGACTACACTAGTTACCCCGGACAGATGTCCCGAAGGATGGCCCTGACTGCTGGAGGATCTTTCAGACCAAGACACCCAAACGGTCCAGCCCAGCACCTTGCCACTCTGCGCCACTCACCAGCTCTTGCAGCCGCCTTTTGCTCATGCCTTTGCGCTCCAACTGTTTTTCAATCACTTTGGCATTCTGTGCATACGAGTCAGCAACTTCCCTCTGAGGGGGAAAAAAGAAGTGTCCTTAAACCAGCAGTCATACCAATGAGTAACAACATGTTGAGACCTTAAGTACTAATTTATACCAGTCAAATTACGGAATTATTACTGAAATGACAGGGTTGTTCCCTTTCAACTCTTCAGCTTTTTGGTAATCCAGGAGAGGGCAGGTTTCAAGTGAAATCATTTAAAAAAATAACAGATAACAACTCTCTCTGTAAACATTATTATACTGAAGTGCCATAAAGGTAATTGCTGCTACCGCTAAGGGCAGATTCATAAACCATCAAGCCATGCTGGAAGGGACCTGAAATCATTGAGCCCGGTAGGATTTAAACTGAAGAGGGATGAGGGACTTGCCCCCTAAGGCATCTCAAAAACACAGTATGAAAAAAAAAATCAGTGCTGTAGCCCAACTCCCTGGTTCTCATTTTACAGATAGTCCTGGGATTCAGGGACACAGCAACTAGCCAGTATCATAGTTTCTTACCAGCAGGGCAGGGTCTACAAACAGTCTCTAATTATTCCGCTACTGGGATGCTCTAGTTCTAGAACCTCGTTCCTTTCACACACACGCCTCCCCTCAGTTCAAATCCCTGGAGAGTGGTACTTACGGCCTCAATCTCCTCTTCCTCTTCATCAATAGTTGACACAGTGACAGAGCTGAACTTGCCCATGTCTTTAGTCCGTTTGGTCATCATCACCTGGAGTCGCAGAAGAGGAAGAATCAGTCTAAAAACAGCCAGAGGCTCAGTGAGTCATGTGTGCGTGCGTGCAGGTGCGCGCATGCCTCGGTGCCGGGAAAGGGAGCCGCTGGGGGTGGACCCCCACCTCCTTGGGATAGGCTGGCCTATCTAAAAGTGCCAATATTTTTACTTGCTTTATATTATTCTAACATTTTCCATTATGGTTTTTAAAGTATATTGAAAAATTATCCTGAGTCATTCCATTTTTAATTGTTTACGCTGGAAAAAGAAGAAATTTGGAAGGAAGTGAATGTGAGTAAAAACCATACAGCTTCTAACTTTACTCATAGGGCAGCTGTAGGAAAGAAAAAAAAATATAACACATTATACACAAAAATGACATTCTCTTAATAAAGAATGTACTCATTCATAAAGAACAATTTCCTGTGCACTGTAACCTTATTTAAAAATTTAGGGCTACATCCATAGCTATATTAACCAGTCCGTCTCCTCCAATGACAATTACCTTCTTGGGAGGCTCTTGCTTTTGAGTATATATATTCGTTTTCCCAAAACCCTGGCCAAACTTGACTACTGCTCCATCCACAATGAAGGTCACGGGAGCATTCTTCGGCTGGGACTGGTAGAAGAGTGGCAGTCCACACCTGGGAAACAGCAGAGTGAGTCTCTGGGAGGCCTCAGAATTCAGATCCCCTGAACAGTGATTTGCAAAGCATGCTCAGATTCCGGGGATAGTTTTGTTTGTGGCATAAACTAAATATGTGCTCTTTCTGGTGTCTCCCCAAACTACTCAGTAAGAATCACTGAGGGTGCTTGTGAAAACAACTCATCAGCTGCCTACACCCCACCCCCAGAAGACCCTGATTCAGCAAATCCAGCGGCGGGGTGGCCCTAGACTCTCATTTTCCTCATCATCTCAAGTGATTCTTATCATCAGACAAATTTGGCAAATGCTGGCTCCTGCTACTGATTGTTTTCTGGTCAAAACTGCTGCCATTTTCTGCGGGTGCCTGGGTAACTAATTTGCAGGTTTTGTCTGGTTTTGTTTTGTTTTCACATTGGTAAGAGGGCGTGTAAAGGCTCTACTGCAGTGGTTAGCACGCAAATGCCTGTAGTAATTGTCCTTCTTTCTTAGGCTGGTCATTTTTATTATACTTTTTCAGCTAAATCAAGGGGATCCATAAGATCTGATAAAACTGATTTAATGAATCCAGTGTGGCTATGAACTAAAAATACCTTCCTGGCCCTCTCTCTGCTTTAACTCTCCTTGTCTGAGTCTTCTGAGAGCCAAGATGTAACTGTTAATCACTGAAACAAGATTAAACTCACTATTGTTTAATATTCTATTAATCTAAAGCTGGACTAAAGTTGGACTATATAAAACTTCCAGGCTTTATAAATGGGCCTGGATTAAATTACACTGTGGTACATTTACCATATGACCCAGCAATCCCACTGCAAGAGAAAACACATGTCCCCACCGATATTTATACTAGAATGTTCATAGCAGCTCTATTTGTAACAGCCTAAATCATCAACAACTCAAATGCCCTTCAACGAGTAGATGGTGAAACAAACCGGTGCAACAGAATATTGCTCAGCAATAGAGAGGAAGAAATTACTGATATACGTAACAACTTGGATGAATCCCAGAAGCATTATGCTAAGTGAAAGAAACCAGATGCAACAGATTCGGATGGTACAATATGTAGTGAAACACATATTGCAGAATTTACATAAAATTTTAGAAAAGGCAAAACCACAGTAACAGAAGGCAGATTGGTGATTGCCAGGGGAGGGGGTGAGGAAGGGGAGTAACTGCAAAGGGCACGTGGGGCATTGGGAATGTCCTGTATCGTGGTAGTGGTACTATTACATGACTGCATGCTTTTGTCAAAACCCATCAAATGGTACAGTAAAGAAGGGCAAATTTAATTACATATCAATTACACCATAACTTTAAAAAATTATACTATGTTTAAAAACCTATTTTTGTGGCCAGCTGGTCAGATGTAACTTTGACTTGTCTCTTTCAGAAGCATATTGTAAAGATTATAAGGGCGAAGATACAAGAGAGGCCCTGGCTGGTGTGGCTCAGTGGATTGAGCGCTGGCCTGAAAACCAAAAGGTCACTGGTTTGGTTCCCAGTCAGGGCACAGGCCTGGGTTGTGGGCCAGGTCCACCGTTGGAGGCTTGTGAGAGGCAACTGATTGATGTATCTCTCACACATTGATGTTTCTTTTCCTCTTTCTCCCTCCCTTCCACTCTCTCTAAAAACAAATAAAAAAATCTTAAAAAAAAAAGATACAACAGAGCATTGTATCCAATAACTCTGTTCCTACCACATTGTTGCCTCTGCTTGCTTATGCTCAGAGAAACCCACAATGTTAATACTTACTTTGCACACTTCTTCCTGTACTGTCGTTCAATGCCTTCAGGCCTGCACCAAAAAAATGGAAGTTAAAAAAAAAAAAGATATGAACAAATCTCATAACCTAGGAACATCACTATCTCATTTCTTCAAATGCTAAAAGAGCCTTTCAAAGTTTGTCATCTCTAGATCAACTGGTTATTAAACATGTACTAGTTTTAAAGCATTCCTTCCTCCCACAAACATTTACTGAGCCCCTAACAGGGGTCAGGTATCTCCCAGACAGAGGAAGAGGAGGAGCAGTAGTAGCTATAGTCATAGCAGCCACCTTAGTTGCAGTAATAATAATGGCAGCAATAGAGGTAGCTGCTTACATAGCTTCTACTATATGCCAGGAACTGTTCTAAAGTGTACATGTATTAGCTCAGTTAATTGTTACAACAACCCTGTAAGGTAGGGTATATCATTACTCTCATTTTATAGATGTGGGCTCCTAAGCACAAAGCACTTGCATGATTTTCTCAAGGTCATAGAATTAGGAAGTAGAATAGGTTGAATTCAAGCCCAGGCTGTCAGGCTCAAGAGCTCACAGGACACTGCCTTAGATAACCAACTCTTCCACCCATCCAGTTACTTAACAGAAACCTGGGACTCATCCTTGATTCTTCACTTTCCCTTATCTCTCCCACCTCTGCATCAGCAAATCGTGCAGATTTTATCTCCAAATTAAACACACACACACACACACACACACACACACAATCTTAAACCAACGAATTCTCCACCTTCCTGCCACCATCTCAGCCCAGGCCACCAGTATCTCTTCCCTGGACTATGGTCACAGCTTTCTGAATGGTCTCCTCACTTCCCCTCCCCATGTTTGTTTAAATTTTTTAATAGGCAATATGTGCCCATGGTCTATACAGAGTATAAAATGAGAAGTAAATACCCTCCCCATCCATCCTCCACCCACCCAGTTTTCTTCCCCAGAAGCAAATACTGTTTCTGGTTTCTTCTGTTCCTCCCAGAGGTAGTGGATGATACAAAGAATCCTCATTGATACCTAGAGAATTTTTTTTCCTTTTAAGACAAGTGTAGCATATCTTGTACTATCCTCTACCTCTTTTTTCACTTAAAAATGCACCTTGGTTAAAGAAATATACATGTGATCCTTCTCCATCATTGAAAACAGAAGTGCTTCATTCTTTACAAGGTCTGCACTGTATGCCTTTGTATGGATGAACCAAATGTCTTGTACTTGTTGGCTAAATTCCTAGAAGTGTATCCACTTTAAATTCTGATAGACACTGCCAAATTACCTTCCAGAGAAGATGAACCATTCACAGTCCCATCACCAATGTGAGAGTTCCCGTTTCCCCAAAGTATCACCAACACAGTATATTATTAAAGTACGCTGTTGCCAATCTCGCATGTGAAAACTTAGATCTCATAATTTGTAATTCATTATTTGAAAAAAATGAAGCTAGGCATCTTTTCATATATTTAATAGACATTTGTATTTTCTTTTTTGGAGGGTGGACTGTCAGTTCCTATCCTTTGTCTTTTTAGTGTATATTAAGAACTGCAAATGTTAAGGGGCCTTGCAAATATTTCTTCCGCAGTTTGATATTTGTCTTTGACTTTTTCCCCTACATGGAGATTTTAGATTTTTTTGTGTGATTAAAGAAATTGTGTGTGTGTGTGTGTGTGTGTGTGTGTGAGAGAGAGAGAGAGAGAGACAGAGACAGAGTCAGTTAGGCCTTCCTCACTCTCAATTCGTATCTAAAATAAAAATTCCAACTGCTTATTCTAGAATCTGCTTCCACTACTGTCTCACTCCAAATTATTCTCTAAATAGAGTCAAGAGTGGCTTCGTTGCCCTGGCCAGGTGGCTCAGTTGGGTGGAGCATCGTCCCATACACCAAAATGTCAAGGGGTCGATTCCAGTCAGGGCACAGACCTAGGTTGCTGGCTGGTCAGGGCAGGTGTGGGAGGCAACAGATCAATGTTTCTCTCTGTCTCTCTCCCTCCCTTCCCCTCTCTCTAAAATCAAGAAACATGTCCTCGGGTGAGGATTGAAAACAAAACAAAACAAAACAGAGTGGCTTCCTAAAACACCCAGAATAAAATCCAAACTCCTTACCATGGCCTACTGGGCAGCAACTGAGCCCATCATTGGGCCCCTGCCTCATCTCATACATCCCCTCCCTCTCTCACTATTGCACTAGCCACACAAGTCTTCCTTTTGTTCTTTGAACCAACAAGTATTTCCCACACCTGACCTTTCACACATGCCCTTCTCTCTGCCTGGAATGCTCTTCTTACCGCTTTACCCCAGCTGTCCCATTCTCGCCGTTTCTGGTCTCAGTTCAAATATCACCTAGTCAGAGAGACTTTCCCTGACCACCTTTTCTAAGGGGTTCTCATGTGATTCTCGGTATGAGCCCTTCTCTTCATTCATATGACCTTTCATAATCATAATTAATCTTTATGTCATCCCACCAGATGTAAGGTCCATGGGATAAAGAAATCAGTGGAGACCATGCCTGTCTGTCTGTCTCACCGCTCTGTTCCCAGAGCCTAACAAAGAACTGGAAACAAAATAGACATGCAGTAAATATTGGTTGGATTAATTATTTTAAGAATTCAGTTTAGTGAGGAAAATTATAATCATGGAAATTCTTACACAGAAGAACGCATGCAGTGTAATGGGGACACAGAGGTCAGAGCTGCCGATCTGTCTGAGGCAAGCATAGAAGGCTTCACGAAGTCATGTTCAAGCTGCCAGTTCTGATAGAAAATGGTATTTTAGGCAGAGGGAACACTATGTGCAAAGGCAAAACAGCACAGCATATTCAGAGAATTACAAACAGTATGTTACTAGCCCTTAAAAAAAAAAAATCCTTGCCTTACATACCTTATAGACAAAAAGATTTTAAGACTATAGTATGAACAGCTGTATACCAACAAATCCGATAACCTAGATGAAACGGACAAATCCTAGAACAACAGAATGACACAAACTACCAAAACTCACTGAGAAAGACACAAGCAATCACAGAATAGATCAATGGGACTTGATTAAAATTAAAAACACTTGTGTTTTCAGGACTACCACCAAGAAAGTGAAAAGGCAACCCACAGAATGAGAAAAGATAGAGTGCTGCTGTTTGGGTGTAACTCCAAAGTCTCTGATCCCCGCCATCTTTAACACTTTGTTTCTCTGCTTACAAGTATTACTTATGTCAAATGTGCTCCCATTTGCTAACATCACCAGACTACGGCACTAGCAATATTTTTCGTTTTGTGTACTCCATTTGGTTCCTACTGGGATTCTAAATTCAGCCTCAGCCTGAAGGGAAAGAGTCACCGTGCAGCTGATTTCTAGAATCCTAAAGGCAGCCAATCTTATAAGTTGGAGCTTTCAAAGCACAGGAATGTCAAAGGGGACTGTAAATTTCCCGACAACTTAACCTTCACATTTGTCAATGGCATTTTGTCAAATTCATAAAAACTGATCAGGCATAAGGCAGGGCTCTTGCTCTCAAAAATTTCATCTTTTTGCTATATATTGAGACTCTAATGTAAATGAGACAAGGCTTTTAAGTGTTATGATTATTAAAAAGTGACTAATATGAGTCAAATATTTAAACTAATTAACCTCGGTTTTCTTTCCTACCGTTAATCTCTAGGAACATGTGCGATAGGGAAGGCCGAAAACAAAACTAAACTAAACATTCTTCCTGGCTGTGGTAGGCAGCCTCTAGAATGGCCCCCAATGACCCTTGCACCCAGGTATTGCCACCCTTGTAGTTTCTTCCCACAGTGAACAGGGCTGGTCTGTGAACCAACGGGACACTGCAGGAATGAGTGTCTCGGTTCTGAGTATTGGACACAAAAGACATGCGGTTTCTGCCCTGCTCTCGCTTAGATCACTCGCACGGCGGGAAGCCAGCTGCCGTGTCACGAGGATACCCAAGCTGCCTATGGAAGATCCCTGTGGTGAGGAACTCAGGCTCTCCACTTCCAAGGTGGCTCTCTTGCACGCCTGGCAACAGTGAGCACTCAGCTGCTAATCACGCAAGTGAGCCACCTTGGAAGTGGGACCTCCAGCACCAATCAAAACTTCAAATGACTGCACCCATGGTCAATCTCTTAACGACCACCTCATGAGAGACCAGAACCACCCACCTAAGCTGCTCTTGAATTCCTGGCCCGCAGAAACTACACGAGATGATACATGTGGGTTGGTTGGTTTAAAAAAAAAATCAAGCGCATACCAGGAGATGAGGACAAACAGGCAGGCCGAGGCCAGATCACAGAGAGCCTTCGGGCTTAGATTTTATCCTGCTAACCAGGATTTTTCCAAGTTGTGCTCTGCAATGACCCCTAAATGAAATTGCATAGGGGAAGGGAAGAAGTCCTTAAATGGCTTGGGCTCAACTCTTCTCCAGTCAGAGCGGCTTCCTGCTTATTTACGTTTTGGGGTAAGAATTTCATTTGAAGAAAGGACTCAATGTCTAAAAATGTTTGAAAGGCACTGCTGTAGGTCATGAAGAGTCACCGAAAGATTTGAAGTGGGAGATAAGCATGTGTTTTTGAGATCATTCACGCAGAAAGAGGGTAAAACTAAAGACAAAAGGTAAAAGGCCACTTCAACAGGCCAAGCAAGTGACGCCGGGAAACATAATGATGGTGGTGTAGCAGGGCTGAACATGAGGCGGCAGCAATAGAGAGATTAAAAGGTAGAACTCACAGTACTGGGTGAGCGGGTGTGTGCAGGGGATTGCGGGGGCGTGCGGGGGTGGATGGGAGGAACACAGGATAGGCTCCCAGATTTCTGCCTTAGGTCACCGCAGGAATGGCGGCATCATCATAAGAGGAGGAAAAAGGAGGAGTTGTGTTGGGCTGATGGTTACAGAGGCCTGACTGCAGTGGCTTCGACACAACAGTTCGTTCTCATGTGACAGAAGTCTAGAGGAAGGTGGCCCCTGGCAGGGGTTCAGACCCAAGAATAGCATGGCAAAAGCTCTGTGATTCCTGTGGCCTTTCCTTCCAGGTCCTAGAATGGCTCCTGGTGCATCCAATTATCAAGCCCGTTTTCCAAAACAGCAGGAAGAAATAAGAAAAGCAAAAAAGGTTTTCCTTGGAAGCCCCAGCCAACAACTTCTACTTCCATCCTTTTTTTTTTTTTTAACTTGGCAAAAGCTAAGTCACATTGAGAATCTTAGAGGGTTTTTTTTGGGGGGGGGGCTGGAATATGTACCCTAACTTTATAGACACTAGTATATAGGTGTAAGAGAAAATCTGCAGTGGAGCTGAGTGAATCAATCTGCAATATTTTCCATATTAGAGAAATGATGAGTTTGGCCTTAGTCATGTTGCATCTGAGGTAGAACATCAGGTGAGGAGGTAGACTAGGCAGTTAGACATCCGGTTCTGGGCACAGAAGAAAAACATATGCAGATCTAGATTTTGTGAATCATCAGCATGTAAGTGTAACTGATGCCACAAAAGTTGGTGAGAATGTCCAAAGACAGTATAAAGAGAGAGGGTAGAAAATCAAGGTCAGCCGTGGCTGGTGTGGCTCAGTGGACTGGGCACCGGCCTGCAAACCAAAGAGTCACTAGTTCAATTCCCAGTCAGGGCACATGCCTGGGTGGCATGCCAGGTCCCCACTTGGGAGTGTGCGAGAGGCAACTGATTGACATACATTGAGGTTTCTCCCCTTCTTTCTCCCTCCCTTCTCCGCTCTTTAAAAATAAATAAATAAAATCTTTAAAAACTAAAAAAAAGCCCTGGCTGGTGTGGTTCAGTGCATCAAGTGCCAGCCTACGAACCAAAGGATTGCGGGTTCGATTCCCGGTCGGGGGTGCATGCCTGGGTTGTGGGCCAGGTCCCCAGTAGGGGGCATGTGAGAGGCTACCACACACTGATGTTTCTCTCTCTTTCTTCCTCCCTTTCCCTCTCTAAAAAGAAATAAATAAAATATTTTTTAAAAATTAAAAAGAAAAAAAATCAAGGCCACCTCGAGAAGACCAACATTTAATGGGCAGGCAGAAAAATCCAGAAGACTGAGAAAGCCAAAGAAGTATAAGGAGACTCACAAAAGCAACTTCAAAGAAATCAAGGAAGGAGAAAGCATCCAGGGAGGGGAATGGGCAACAAAGATACAGACAGAAACTCACCCACTGACTTGCAAATGGGGGAGCGGTAAATGAGGAAGAGAGAGGACTAGGGAACGACAGTGTCAAAGAGGTACTTTTAAAAAAATTATTTCTTTCTTTTAGAGAAAGAGGAAGGGAGGGAGAAAGAGAGGGAAAGAAAACATCAATGCGGGAAAGAAACATTGATTATCTGCCTCTCACACACGCCCTGACCCACCCTGCAACCCAGACTTGTGCCCTGCCCAGGAATCGAACCAGCGACCTTTCCTTTTGCAGAATGATGCCCCACAAACTGAGCCACACTGACCAAGGCAAAGAAGAGGTACTTTGGAATGGAGAGACATGGAGGTGGAAAGTGCTGGGTTCCAGGACCTGTGTTCGGCAGACTGTTATATTTTCAGTAACTGGTGCTCCCACACTCAGCAGGCTACAGAAGAGGAAGGCTAAGGAAGAGACTGCAATTCCACCCTGGCCAGTTGGGGAGCACACTAGGCTGGTCATGATGAGAGCAGGTACTATGTCAACCGAGGGGGGAATTTACCATCCCTTGTTGGTGAACTCTAAGAACTCTACGGCCCGACAGAGTCACTTGGCCAAAAGCCTCAGGCCTGGAAAGTACCCGACACTAAAGCTGGGTCTGAAGCTGGCTCACTTCCAGGATCAGGCTGATTGGATTCCAGAGTTTGTACTTCAACCTAGAGCCACACAATTTACTGGCCTAGAACTGAGGACATCTGCCTTATAGTGTCATAGGAATCTGTGGCCTAGTTGCATTATAGATTACTTTCTGTATTAACTGAATAACATATCCATTTAATACATAATATATAGCATATGTAATATTATATAAATATGTAATTAATAATTTACTGATCCTAAAGACAGTTAATAACTTTCAAAATCAGAAACCTAAATAAAGATTAATAGAGGGAGAACAAGCACAAGAGAAGAAATTACTTTTAGATAGGGCATGTTATTTATAAACCTTTCTATGTACCATAATGAAGTGTTTCTCTGATATTTCCTGTGAATATCATGTTTTATTATAATTTGTGCCCCTGGGTGTATCTTGTATATAACCAAAATTCTCTTCAACTGCACAACTCTGGAAGCCCAGTTGTCACAATGGTGCTTGATGCTCGATTTGCTATTGAGTGTCACCTAGCAGTGGTTTAGAACTTTTTTTATTAGTGTGGGATGATATCAGTTTGGTTTCTTAAATAAACATAGATAGATGTCAGCCTGTAGTTTTTTCTAGTTTGACACTAGAATATAAGCTCCATCAGGGGAGGGTTTTTTGCTTGTTTACTGGTTGTACTGGGTTGGACAGTGCCCCTTAAAAGAGAATGTCCTTCCAGGAACCTCAGAATGTGGCCTTATTTGAGTAGAGGCTTGTTGAAGATATAATTAGTTACGATGAGGTCATGTAGACGAGTAGAATGTGCCCTAATCCGATGTGACTGGTGTCCTTAGAAGAGAAGAAACACAGAGACAGAGACACAGAGAGAAGTCCATGCGATGATGCAGATGGAGATGAGAGTGATGTATCTACAAGGGAAGAAATACTAAGGGTGGCTAGCAAACACCAGAAGCTGGGAAGGGGCAAGGAAGGATCCTGCCCTTGAACCTTAAGAGTGTGAGCACGGCTCTGCTGACACCTTAATCTGGTGGCTGACTTCTAGCCACCAGAACTGTGAGACAATTAATTTCTGTTGTTTTAAGTCAGCCAGTTTGGCAAACTAATCTACTAGGATATCTCAAGTTTCTAGGACAATACCTGGGCACATGGTAGGTAGGTAGGTCAATAAATGAACTATTTGATGAACGAATGAATGGAGGGACAGACTTTTTAATTCCCTGGAATTGACCTCTCTGTGGCATCTGGCACCTGTTGATGACCATCCCCCCCCACCACACACACTTCTTGAAACTCTGTCCTCTCCTGTTTTCCACATCACCAGGTTTTCCTGGTTCTGTTCCAATTATTGTGTCTGCTTTTTAAATGTCAGTGCTTCCCAGGACTGTATCTTCAGCCCTCTCTTCTCCTTCCCCCAGGCTTACAATCTTTCTATGTAATTTTATCCTTTCCCAGGTTTCAATACCCCATACATACCAAGCACTCCCAAATCTAAAAGAGGTGCACCCATGTCACTCCTCTGCTTTAAAAAAAGGAGATGGTTATTGCCTACAGATAAAGTCCACACTTGCCTGCTTCAGCGTTTTATTGTCCACACCCCAGGAGCTATGAACCCCTTCAGGTAGAGTGACCTGGACTCTAGCAACAGAGAACTACTCAAATTTCCAAAGCACACGTGTTTGATACGTTTAATGCTTCCATATTCCCTCCATCTAGAATGTTCCTCATTCCCCTCATCTACTTTGTGAAATCCTAGTTCGAGGCCAAACACAAGGCCACCATCTATTTCTACTTTTCCTGACCACCATTCAGGCAGGATGAGCCACTCCTATCTGTTCTCCCATAGCCTTTGGTTTACCACACCAGTATTTTATCATATCACGATAGGTAGCCTGTTCCCTCACTGAGCCATGAGCTCTTTAATGGTAAGGATGGTACTTTATTCATCTTCACAGATGCAGTCCCTAGATCAGTGCCTGCACATAGTATGCTTCAAGACGTTACAGGCTGAATGAACTCATTCTACTTGCAAAAGAAATTACAGCTCTCAAATGGCAACAGAATCACATCTCAGCACCATTTCAACAAAGCACAATAAAGACACTACTGCATTAACAGAAGTTAGAGATCTACCACAAACATCAATGTTTTAGGCCCAAACGGATGACCTTTTTGACACTAGATGGAGTATTTATAGTCTCAGAACTAGGCCCAAACACAATAAGAAGATCCTATACAGATAGCATCAACCTCTTACCTGCGAAGATACGTAGTCTCCTCATCTTCTGTGTTACAGAACTTGTGGGCATGTTTGGCAGCATCAATCACCCGGGACCGATCCCGGGGCCTCATGGGCAATTTCTCTAACTGACAGTCTGAAGTAATGGAGGAAGATTTGGTCAGTAGGGTCACTGGAAAATACCCAGAGGCAATCAGAAGTTTTCAGTGGGGCCCCCAGCACTGTCATTTTTACTATAATTACTATGCTTGTTGAAGCCTATTATTGAATTTTCCAACTAAAAGTGACTCGGTATCAGACCTGGATTTTAGTCCCAGCTGTTACCGCCCTGGTGATCTTCGGCAAATCACTTCCTCTTTTGGGTGGGGGGGGGTTCACTTTATTTGAAGCATAAATAGATTATATTATCTGGAAAGTCCTTCCCAGCACTACAATTCAAATTTACTAAGTATTTTTGTGATTCAAGTGTCATAGTATGCTTGGTTTGTGTTATAAAAATGCATTAGAATCAGAAGAGGTAATCAAGCATACTCCAATGCCTATGAGGAAGGCACTGGGAAAAGTGGATAAGTGCTTAGAAAAGGAGAGCGAGGGTAGGTGGTATGCTACATATAATATGAAAGCTTTAATCTGAAAGCACATGGGAAATAAATTAGATACAAATATAAAGCAGATGGAAAATTGACACAATGTCAATTAAGTACCTAAAGGGTCACTGAGAAGTCAAGTGACCCAAGTGATTTGAAACTAACAGAGGAGGTGGAGAGGGGAATTGGAGATCGCCAGGCAGTTTTCATAAGAGCTCAATGCTCTTCACACCGACCTGATGGAGGGGACATTTAGTATTCCATTTAAACATTTAGTTTAAAGATGAGGGGACTGAGGCTTAGAAAAGGTAAGAGATCTGCTACGTTTAATAAGACGCAGAACAAGAATTCAGACCCAACTCTAGATGATCAAAAGAGAACTCATTTATTCAATAGACATGAGGGTCCTCTATGTACTGGGCACAGTTCCAACATCGTGCTGGGGATTCAGCAAAGAGCAAAGCAGGCAAAGTGCCTGGCCTAATGAAGTTTACTCTCTAGCAGAGGACGCAGAAAACTTAATACTTATAAAATATGACCTTGGATAATAAGTGCTCATAAAAAATTTAGGCATAATACTAAGAGGAGGAACACAGAGATCCCAGGTAGTGGTAAGTGCTACCAAGAAAAATCAGGCAGGGTGAGAGGACAAAGAGTGACAGGGGTGCTATTTACACAAGGTAGCCAGGGAAGAGTTTTCTAAGAAGATGACAGTTTAGCAGAGACCTGAATGAAGTAAGCGAGCATGGGGGAAGGGGTGGTGGAGGCAGATGAAATACCAATCCAAAGGCCCTGCCTCGGGGCAGGAACATTGTGACACAACGTCGAGAAGGCCACTGTGGCTGGAGTGCAGTGAGCAAGGGGGAGAGTTATGAGACGAAGTCTGAGAGGTACTGACCAGGCGCGGTCTTGGTGTGGACTTTGATTTTATTCTTGACGTTATAGGAAAACAGCAGTTTGAAACAGGACTCTGGCTGCTGGGTGGAAAATAGACCACTAGGGTCAAAGAGCAGAGAGCAAGAGACTATTGTGGCAATCCAGGTGAGGGATGATGGTGGTTTGGTCTCGAGTGGTAGAAATAGGAGTGGTAAAAGTAGTCAAATTCTGGATAGATTTTGAAGGAAACACCCACAGAATTTATTGATGGATTGGATGGATGTAAGGTATAAGAAAGAGAGAATTCAGGAGTGATTCTGAGATACTGGGTGAATAGTGGTATCACTGACTGCAATAGGGAAGACTGAGGGAAACAGTGGAGAGCAGGGAGTAGAGGGTCATGAAGTCAATTTGAGTATGTCTCTGAGAGGCCCAGTAGACATCCAAGTGCAGACATGGAATAGGCCATTGGCGTTTGACGAAAGGTGCAGGTTAACAATGAACATGTGGGAGTCATCAGCATATACCCCGTAGATGGTATTTAAAGCTTGGGAATGGTTGAGATCACTTAGGGAGTGAGTACGGATTGAGAACAGGTGAGAAGACTGAGCCCTAGCGCCTTGCAAGGCCTGTTTGAGACAGAAAAAGGAAGCAGACCCTGAGAAGGGGCAAAATCGAGGTAGGAAGAAAATCAGGAGAGTGTAGAGTCATGGAAGCAAATGAAAAAGTGTTTCAAGAAGGATGGAGTGCTCCTTTCTGTCAAAGTCCCTGAGATGGGGACTAAAATGACCATTGACCACTGGAATTGGTAATATGTTCCGTTAGAAACCTTGACAAATGTGGGTTAAATGGCGAGGTGGGAAGGAAAGCCTGTCTGAAGCGAGGTCAAGTGGAAAGTGGGGATACAGAAACAGCCAATATAGGCAATCCTTCTTAGAAGTTTGCTACTTTAAAAAAAAAGCAAAGAAATGGGGTTACAGTTGGAGGAGAATGTAGGATCAAGGAAGGATTTTATTTTCATTTAAGATAAGAGCTATTACTGCATCTAGAGGCGGAGTGAGAGGAGGGCAAGATAAGGTGTCTTTTTTCTGAAGGACTTAGTTTTGAGGGAGGTCTGGATAGAGTTACAAGGTTAACGGATGTGTAGGGAGGATGTTGATGCAGAGGTAAAGCCCACTAATCTTCAAAGAGACGTGACTCCCAGATCATCACAGCCTGAGAAAAATTGCACTCGAGAACCGGAAGTTTCGCTCCTCGCAGCGTGCCGCCCGCCGGCTCCCCACTACGTACCCAGCACCAGAACCATCTGGCCGCACAAACAGTAGTAGACGTGAAGAGGCTTCTCGCCGTCGTCATATTCCTCCCGGTCCCGGGTATCGGAGCAGACAACTGACCGGGACACAACTTTAGGCATAGTTCACAGGTGAAACCCAGAAAATGCCCACAATTTTGGGTCGCGCAGAAATGACGTCAGAGACACGCGTCGAGCCTATCCCCTACAGTAAAGGCTTAGCTTCTGTCAGCGTCTGTCATGTGGACTTCCGGGATGTCTCATTAGGCTAAGATGCTCGGGGGCATCCGGAACCTCCCTTGCCTTGGCTGTTAACGGGAACTGCTTTACTTGGGACACCCTTAATATTATTTAAATTATTTATTTATTTATATTTCTATACATGTATGCATATGTATATGCCTATATATTTATATATAAAATCAAGTAAAATAAAGAACTATATTTACACAATACGCATGATACAGATTTTAGGTGTACCTCTATGATTTTAATGGCTGTGGTCAGAATGAGTGCCTAACGAAGTAGAGACATCTTTTTAAAGCCGAGATACAATTCACATAACATAAAACAAAGTGTATGATTCAGTGGGTTTTTTAGAGTATATTCACAAAGTTGTATAACCATCACCACTATCTAATTTCATATTTTCTTCATCTCAAAGAGAAATCCTATATGGTTAGCAGTCACTCCCCTCCTCTTTCACGGACCCTGGCAACCCCTAATTTACTTTCTGTCTCTATGGATTTGCCTCTTCCGGACATTTGGTATGAATGAAATAATACAATATGTGGCTGTTCGAGTCTGGCTTCTTTCACTTAATATAATGTTTTCAGTAAAAAGTAGTAATGAATCAGTAAAATGGAACCTCATTCCTTTTTATAGCTGAATAATATTTTGTTGTATGGATATACCACATTCTCTTTATTCATTCATCAGTTGATGGATGTTTGGATTGTTTCTAGTTTTTGCATAAAATAACTAATGCTACTATGAACATTGGTGTACAAGTTTGTGTAAGGACGTATGTTTTTAGTTCTCTTTAGTGTATACTTAGGAGTGGAATTGTTGGGTAATATAGTAACTTGATGTTTAAACTTTTGAGGGACTGCCAAGAGTGTTTTCCAAAGTGGCTTTACTATGCCTATAAGAAATCTATCTATGGGGGTGGGGGGGTCCTGATTTCTTCACTTCTTCACCAATAGTTATTTGTGCCTGTCTTTTTATGATGGCCATCCTGGTGGATGTGAAGTGGTATCTCATTGTGGTTTTGATTTCCCTTCCCCTGATGCCTAAGGATGTTGAGTACCTTTTTATGTGTATTTATCATTTATATATCTTCCTTGAAGAACTGTCTATTCAAATCCTTTGCCCATTTTTAATTGGGTTATTTCTCATTTTATTGTTGACTTGCATAAGTTGTTATATATTTTGGATACTAAACCCTAGTCATATAAATGATTTGCAAACAGAGGCATCTTAATGATATTGTTTACCACAGGTATAAGGGACCATCTTCCACCCTTCTTTTCCCCAACCCAGAAACTCTCCCAGAATGCTTTTTGTGGAGGACAGAGTCTTGGAGCCATCCAGAATAAGGACATCGAGACAGTCTACATTGAGTAACTTCAATAATCTAAGTGATGACACCAAAATAGCAGATTTTTAAGAGAACTTACTGAAGATAGCAGGAGCTTATTACTAGAAAATTAACAGGTTGGCTGGAAGAAGTTTAGTGTTCAAGATAAACAAGATGTAAGTGGATGGAAATTTAAAGTGATCTGCTAGCCCTAAAAAAAAAAAAAATGAGTTAAATAAAGTATAAAAGAAATATCAATGCATGTCTTAAAGAATCACAGCGTTTACTCCTAAGTCTTAGTCCAATGTCATCCCTATGTAACTCAGTATTTATTGATCTTCTGTTGTAGTCATCAATTATAAATAGTCTCACCCACTCATGTGGCTCAGTCTAGTGCAGAAGTGGGTAAACTTTCCCTGTAAAGCACTAGAGGGTAAATATTCTAGGCTTTGAGGGTCAAAAGGTAAAATCAAGAACATTATGTAGGTACTTGTATAACAAGAGAGAAAACAAATTTCCACAAATATTTATTGATGAAGTTCAAAATATAATAACAGAATATATATATATATATATATATATATATATATATATATATATAATCAAACAGGTCTACTAATGAACAGAATGACATTCTTTGATGGAGGAGGATAACATTTCACTAAATTAGGGTTCAAAGAGAGTGTTCCCTATCATCAAAATCAGCTACAATTTCAATATGCCTTTACAGGTTTTGAAATTGTTTCCTACATGATTAAGATGACATTTTTAAGAACCTCATTTTCACTTTGTAATAAACGTTTACAACTTGATTTTTTAAAGCCAAATGCCTGCACCTGTTAATAAAGGTCTTAAATAATTTTTTAAAAATAAACTGCAAATATTCATCTGTTAATGTTTATCTGTAATGAGAGTTTGTGTATTTCATCTCTGAAAAAAAATTAACACAGATAAGTACTGCCAAATACTGATATCAATCCACAAGCAACTGATTTTAATTGAACATATTCATCTCTTAGAAGGCATTTAGAAAATTCAATTAGATTCTCCTCTTAATATTTGCCTTTTAGCATGTCATTACATTGCAGAGTGATCATTTCCAATTAAAATTTAGGTGGAAGTTCCTCAAATGCACAAATTAATTTTGAAATATACAAATTTTCTTTGCACTTTGCATCAAGGTTCCAAAAATGCCACTATAACTGTAATTTGAGCTCAGAAAATACATCCACTGCAAGTTTGTGTGGGAATGTAAATCCTCATCTTTGTTTTAACTTTTTACAGCACAGGAAGTGATTAAAATAACTTCACATTACATGTGATTCAAACAACGTTAGTTGTCATTGATATGAATTTACTGCAGTTTAAGTTTCACATATAAGCAGTGTCTTGCCTCGTAATTTTAGGTTAAGTGCATTAAATAACATTATCAAGTCTAGAGTAGAAGCTAATTTAAAAAACATTCAGTGTTCAACAATAGTGTTTGAGGGTGGATCTTCTTATTCAGAAAAATTTTAATCTCAGCCCTGAGCTTTAAAATACCTTTAAAAATGCACTGCTAAGCTAATGAACTGCTGTTAGCAGGCCAAGTCAGAATATTCAGCTTCTATTTCTGACAAAAATTCATGAAACTGACAATGGTTTAGTCCATGAGAGTGAGTGAATTACATTGTTGACACTAATGGTTGAATAATACAAGAGAGATTCAAATATTTTCATGCAAAGCACCTGCTGTTTAATAATGAAATGAATAACCATAAGATTTAAACTTACATTGTCTTGAGCTTTGTACACTTGTCCTTCCTTCTCTGTACATATTTGTAACACACGTTAGCAGATTCTACTTCAGGTTGTATTGAACTAGCATTTTCTTGACTTCTTTGGAAGTATTCTCATCTGAAGTTGTTTCACACAAACTATTCATACAGGCCAATTCTTCCATCACTTTAAACTCAGCATTGACTCTGAGAAAACAACTGAACAGTATTGGTAACATCTGTGAATTCATCAAGAGCCAAGGAAAACCACTTGAAATTATTTTCCCTATTTTTTAAAATGACTATCGATGCTGCTTTTAATGTCCTTAAGTCTTTGAGTCACTGTTCTTGTTGAAAGGCCATAGTCTTTAAAATGTTCATTTTCCCTGGACATATTTCTTTGGCTTCTAAAATCAAACACAACTTAACTAATTCACCATCAGTAAATAGCTTTCCTTCCTTCCTTGGCTAACAAATGAACCACTCAGAAACTCACCTTGATCAGAGTTGCATTTTCTTTTTTCTTTTTTGTGAATAACTTTGCTAAGATATTCCACTTTAAACTTTCTAACTTTTCTAATCATAGCTTTCCTGTGAGCTGGGAATATTGTGATGTGTGATTAGTTTGTTATCGGCCATGTACATTGTATTCTTTTAGCAAAGCTACAATATCACTGCGTAACAAACACAATGCTTTGTTCGACAGCTAATTTGATAACCAAGTAATCTACACTTAAAATCATGATACTCAAAATCCACTTTTAGTTTCTTGTTTTGACATGGCAGTATGCACTTCCAATTTTTAAAAGATGCCACAATATGGTGAAACTCAAAACGCTATTGAATTATAACTGTGTCACTGGGATTTGCAGTGAACCAACCAACAGCGTGAAGGGATGAGAGCACCACAGACAGTCTCTGTCACAGCCACTCAACTCTGCCATTGTAGCACAGAAGCAGCCGCACGCAGTACATAAATGAAAGAGCATGGTTGGGTCCCAATGAAGATGTAGGGGCACTGAAATTTAAATATCATATTGTCTTTATGTGTTATGAAATTAGTAAATATTCTTCTTCTTTTGATCATTTTCCACTCTTTAAAAATATGGCTTGCAGACCATAGGGGGAAAGATGACAGGCTTGGTTTGGTGGATGTAGCTGGTTTGATGGCATTTTCACGCACAACACTGTAGCCATGCGTGTTAGTTTCCTATTGCTGCCATAACAAACTACCTTGTGGCTTAAGAAACACACACTTATTATCTTACAGTTCTGGAGATTAGAAGACACCCAAAATCAACCTTGCTTGTCTAAAGTCAAGATGTCAGCAGGGCTGGAGTCCCCAGGGGAGAATCCATTCTTTCCCTCTTCCAGCTTCTAGAGACTGCCCGCATCCCATGGCTCCTTGGACGCTGGCTGTATCACTCCAATCTCCGCTTCCAACGTCACATGCCCTCCTCTCTGAATTCAGACTCCTCCTTCCCTCGTATAAGGACCCGCATGATTATGTCAGGCCCACCGGTTTAATCCTGGATGTAATCTCTCCATCTCAAGATTCTTAAACTTAACCACACTTGCAAAGTCCCTTTTTTTCAATTTAAGGTAATGTATTCACAGGTTCCAGAGATGATTATGAGATCCTGAGGAGAGGTGCGGGGGGAGCATTATTCAGCCCACCATACCATGCCTTTGTTTCTCTTGATTCAACAATTCAGCTGGTAGTAAAATCCTATGTTCATTCCCTAATTTCCCCCTTTCACTAAGCTTCACTATTTCTTTCTCCTCTCACTCCTCCCCTCCCCTCCCTTCCTCTTCTCTCTCTCCTCTTTCTCCTCCCCC